ACCTCACTATAACAGTATATTTTAACAGAACTAAAATTCAATTATTTATTTTCTCTTGCTATTATAGATTTTTATATGATAATTTTCTATAACAGTTGCAAATTAAGTTGTGCTACCAAGCATATATACAAAATTTTGGCTATAATAGATTTATAATCTAATTAGTTCATTATGAACTAATGAGATTACAAAATTATTGTCAGAAAGTGATTAATTGCATATATGAATAAAACTGAATTAGTAAAGCAGATAAAATATAATTAGTATAATTGTCATAGAACAATAGAGTTTATTGTAATACGTAATATAAAGTTTATTCTAATAATGTAAGTATATATGATTGAAAGTAAATAAATAAAGATTTAATCATACAAATCGAATCTGGAACTTGATTCTTTTATTCTAAATTGTCTTGAATTAAAATAATAGTATAAAATAACCTTGGGTATAAGAGATTGGGTAATCATTATTAAGAAGTAGTTAGTGTGTTGAAGAAGAACAAAAAGAATTATAAAGTAAATAAGCAAGTAAGCCCTAACTCAATTTTGCATACAAAGCATATTTATTTATTCTATATCAATTACTAATAATGTAGTAATTTAAAGTAATATTTAATATTAAAGATCAAAGTTTGAAAACTTGCTCACATATAAATTATAACGGAGTAATAAACCTGTCTATAGCAAAAAATATAATCCAAGCTATGAGATCTGAAACCTTAATACACATTAATTGACAAAGAAAAAGTATTCAATTAAATGCTAATTTGGATTTGGCTTGAAGTGAAGCTCTATTAAAGAATAATAGTAAAATAACTAATATTCAAATAGTAGAAACTAAAATTATAGTCATGTAAATAAATATAAATTACTCAACATTAGTCATAATATATATTAGAGTAAAAAATTGTATTAGTATTTTTGTGCAAAGTTATTAACAGACAATAACATTATATTATCTGTGGTAAAATTATTCTTATATAGCTTTTTTCTGTTGAAACAAAAAAAATATTACCCTATACTTATAAATATAGCTTTTTAAATTTTTTTTTTTAAAAAATTTTTTTAAAAAAATTTTTTTAAAACAAACTTTAAAAATAAACTTTTTTAAAGAATTTTTTAAAAAATAAACTTTTTTAAAAAATAAATATTTTTTAAAAATAAACTTTTTTTAAAAAAAAAACTTTTTTAAAAACCTTTTTAAAAATTTTCACTTTTAAAAATATCAGCCACCAGAACTAGTAGAGTACTCTCTCTTGGTACCAAGCATAAACATGCAGTAATACCAGGCTCAAAAAAACATAAAATTTGTTAAAAACTTTCAGAACCTAACCCCAAACAAAAAGAATTGACACTTGAATATAACATATCTGAGCAGGCAGTTTTAGATATTTGGTGAGATCAAAATAAGTGGCTCCAACTTGAGGTTAATAGTTATGACGCACAATTAAAAAAAGAACATTCATCAGGGTTTCTATTAGTTAAAAAGGTTTTAGAAAGATGGTTACAATATGCATTCACAAGACAAATGATATTAACAGATAAGATTCTTTTAGAAAAGGCAAAAAGCATTACTTCTAATGTTGAAGAACAAAATTTTTATAGTTCACATGGGTGATTAGCATGATTCAAGGCCCAGCATAGAATAAAAGCATATATAAGGGTTGGTGAAAGTGATAGTGCACCACCAGAAACTAAAATTAATGCAGAATATGAAAGATTATGTGCTATTATTGTACAATATCCACTAGATGATGTTTGGAATGTAAATGAGACAGGTATTTTTTGAAAAAGGAGCCAAGAAGGACTCTTGCCACTAGTCACAAAAAGGCTATAAACTCTCTAAAGAATATATTACATATCTTGTTGCTTGCAATGCAATGAGTAATCAAAAATTAAAACTAGCATTTATTCATAAATATAAAACATCTTGTTTACTCTATAATATCAATTATAATAAACTTCTAGTTTCTTATTTTTGAAATAAAACATATTGAATACAAGTATAAAATAATATTTAATAAGTATTTCTAATTATACCTAGTAATACTTTTACTTTAACTAATATAATTCTACTGAGTATGATTAGAAAATTTTTAATTATACCCAATAGGTTTGTACTAATTGGTATAAGATTATAGTATATAATGGCTAAAGATATTTAATTTTTTTAAAAATCTTAATCAATAAATTATAGTATATAGAGATACATATAAACTTTAAAGTATAATAACTTTAAAATTAAATAAAAGTCTATTCTAACAGAAATATAACTTAGATAAATAGCAACAAATTTATAAGAGAGATTTTTGCTAAAATATTTTGTTCTATAATTATAACTTTATAATATTTTTTATATTTTATATACAGTACCGGACAGCAAGAAACATCCAATTTTTTTTTAAAAGCGCCAAATTTTGAGATTTATACTCAAATCTGA